CAAATACAAAGATGGTCAAAATGTTACATGTGCTGTTTTAAATGTAAATATTTTTTTCTTATTCAAGTACTCAATCCACATCACAGAAAGTTTGAGAAACACACACTTAATGGAAAAATAAAATAAATTAAAGAACATCTCAAGTAATTAATGACAGTGACGTGCCTAGGTGCCAAATGACAACATGGGGAACATCTAGCACAGACAATGCAAATTCACAATCATTTTTGTTGACATGACAATCTGACATTGTATTCTCACTATTTATAAAAAATATATATATATTTTTTTAAAATGATAAAATGTATAACCGCCATATTATCTGTGATAGTTGCATTTATATAACTTTCCAAGTTTGCATGGAGATCAGTACCCATATAAATCCTGTATATAGAATTATTATTAGTAGCAGTATTAATATTATTAATATCATTATTACTGTTGTTATCATGCATTACTCATTGCGGCATTCCCAGCAGTAAACCTCCAATCCCTGGCCCCCACCCCAAGCTCTGCTTATTATCTCACCTTAACTCCAGGTGCACCCACGCAGCATCCTGCCAACACCCCCGTACAGCCAGCCCTGTGTGTGATAGGAGCACAGATAGAATGTATCCCTCCTGGATCTGTCACATTCCATCCACAAACAGCCAGAGACTGGGACCTCACTCAACATCTACACCACAGCTACACTCTGGACAGCCAGGGAGAGCTCCTCAGCACATCAACAGCAATCTGACGATTCCTCTGTCCAGCCGCCCAAAGGATGCAAGGAGAAGCAGCAGCTGCAACACACAGTGTTCTTATCCTAGAAGCTTGCAACATCCAGGGGCTGCATCAACACAGTGCAGAGATTATCACAAGCTAGAGCGCCCTCTGCTGAGCATGAGGAGAATTTCTTCAATAGATCTGGAGAAGTTGATGAGGATAAAAAGGGTATTATTTTATTCTAGTCTTCTATATAGTGTTCACTCTATGTTATTATTGCTTTTTTTTATTGTATCTAATTTATGTCATACATAAAGGGCATGGTGGGACCTTATAAACAAATATTCTGCTATTTATACATTATGAAAAATTAAAGAGACACTGCCCAAATACAATTAAAAAAAAAACAAAAAAAAAACTGAAAACCACTATTTAGTAGATATACCCCAAAGAAAAAATACATGCATATATACCACACCTTTTTTTTTTTCATGTTTAAATCTTTATTTCACTTTTTCAAATTACAGAAAAAACACAACAGACAAAAAAAAAAGTAAATAAAATAAATAAATGAATAATATTACCATCTTTTACTTTTATACATCTTACAATCTCTTATGACTTTTTTTTTATCTTTACATCACTGAATTCTTTTTTACATTAGGCATTTCTTTTTTATCCCTTTGATATACTTTATAAATATCCTGATTCTTGTATTAAATTAGGTTTTTATCCCTCCTTCTCTATAAAGAAGAAAAAAAAAATGTACATTTAATAATAGTAATTCTTTCTTTGAATCTGCATTTCCAATTTTATTTAATTTATAAAATTTAATATCAAACATCTATATCAATCTTATACTGCTGCTTGAATCTCAAACACTTTTTTTTTTCTGTTCTCGTTCTCTTTCCCTTGTCTCTCTTCCCTTCCCTCTTCCTTCGTTTGTTTTGTACCACCTAAATTTTATTAGCCATCTGTATTAATGAAGATATTTTACTTATTTCTTTCCCCTTATTTTCTCTTAATTTCCTCTCATTTCATTTCCACCTCACCCAAATTTTATCATAAATATCTTGTTTGCCTTTTAGCCTATAAGCCATCTCGACGTAGATTTTGGTAGTAGAGATCTTTTCCCTTATTATACTTAATGATGACACCTTTTTTGTTTTCCATAAATTGGCTATAGCATTTTTTGTAGCCATCAATATATGTATAATTAGCACTTTTTCTTGTAGCAATATTCTCTCTGGCATAATGTGTAGTAGGAATATTTCTGGTTGCAGGGGCATCAATGTGTTTGTAACTTTAAAAATGAATTGTTGAATGTATTTCCATACATCAATAATTTTTTTACACTGCCAAAATATATGGGTCATAGATCCTTCCATTTCCCCACATCTCCAGCATGTCCCCACGTTCTCTGGATATATTTGCACCAATTTTTGTGGTGTCATGTACCACCGTAGCCACATTTTGTATGTTGCTTCGATATGTTGTATATTATGTGTGACAGCCTTAGTTGATCTCATAGCCCTATGCCATCGAAAGGGATCCCACTCGTTCTTTAGCTCTTTCTCCCAATTTAACATAAAAGGCAGTTTCTCTGCTAGATTTAATATTCCTCTATAGTTTATTGATAGAGGCTTATCTTGGGGTCGTCTCTCCAAACATAGCCTCCCAAAATCATTATTCCCAGAATTTTCCACCTCCTTCACTTGAAGTTTCATTAAAATATGTTTCACTCTGAGATATGTATAAAGTTCCCTGTTATGAAGATCGTATTTAATTTGTATATCTGGGAATTGAATTATAGCTGAGCCTGCTATTAGATGTCGGGTTTTTGTTAATCCTTATTTTTTCCATGTTGTTTTGTTTAAATCTTTTGTATAATAAGTTAAACTTTGCAGAGTTCCATAGTAAAAATAATTGGCTTTCCCCAGAAGTTTAGGGGCCCAGTAACTCCACAACCTCAGAGATATTTGTGTTGTGGATAGGAAATTATAGTTTCTAAGATGAGCGTGATGTGTTATCCAAATGAGATCCAATATCTCATATTGTGGGACAATGGATTGTTCTAATAAATGCCATAGGGGTATACTAGATGTATCTATTAGTGCTGCTGTATGTGCCAGTATGGAAGCTATATAATATTTTTGAATGTGCAGTACTCCCATACCACCCTCTGTCATTTTGCAGCTCATTGTATTGAGTGATATTCTTGGGGGTTTGCAGTTCCAAATATGAGCATTTATTGTTTTCTGAAAATTTGTTATAATTGATTTAGGGATCATTATTGGTATGGATCTAAAAAGAAATAAAATCTGTGGTACGATGCACATTTTAACAGAATTGATCCGTCCCGCCCATGATCTGGTGCTCTTGTCCCAGTGTTTTAGTGTATCTTGTGCTTCTCTTAGTAATTTGCTATGATTATTTATTATCATTTCCTGTTTCGAAACTGAAAGATGAATACCAAAATATTTTATAGATTTATTTCTCCATTCGAATGGGTATTCATCTTTCAGCTTTCAAACTGTTGGCTCTTGCATATTAATAGGTAAGGCTTGGGTTTTAATAATATTATTTTTATAATACGACACTGTGCCATATTCCTTCAATAAATCCATCAGCGGCATTATTGTTTTGTCTGGATTTGTTAGTATTATCAGGACATCGTCCGCAAACAAGGCCACTTTTTGAGGTCCTATGTAAGTATTTAGCCCCGTTATTTGAACTTGTTCATTTATTTTATATACTAGGGGTTCAAGGGTCATAATAAAAATCAATGGAGAGAGGGGACAGCCCTGTCTTGTTCCATTAGAGAGGCACAATTTACGAGACACAAAACCTGAATTGATAACTCTAGCCGTTGGGTTTGTATATAATGAGAGCATACCTTGTTTAAATTTGTTTGGGAGGTGAAATTTATCTAGGACCTTCTCCATGTATTGCCAATGTAGGCGATCAAATGCCTTTTCCGCGTCAAGTGCCAACAATAATCCCTCAGTTTTCTGTCTTTTCATTATTTTCAGTATATCTATAAATCTACGGGTATTACCCCCCACCTGTCTACCTGGCACAAAGCCTGCTTGTTCTGTCCCTATCAATTTGGGCAGTAGTGGTTTCAGTCTTAGTGCCATTACTTTTGCAAACAATTTTATGTCTACATTAAGCAGAGATATAGGTCTTAGATTGACGCAGCTAGTTGGTGGCTTTCCTGTTTTTGGTAGTGTTATTATAATAGCTTCCAGCATTTCCAGGTGTACCTCACCTGAATCTAAAATACTGTTAAAAAGTATTGTTAGATTTGGGATCAATTCCTTTGCAAATTTAAAATAATAATAATTAGAAAACCCATCTGGGCCTGGTGCTTTATGTTTTGAGGTTGTTTTATAGCTTCCCAGACCTCTTCCTCTGTAAAAGGTTTGTTCAAGATCTCTGCCTCTTCCCGAGTCATGCATGGAAATCATATTTAATGTGGGTTGGTTTGTATTTGAATCCTCCCTTAAATTATATAGATATTCATAATATAATGCTAACTCATTAACAATTTGATTTGGATCTATCAATTTTGCACCTTTTGGGTTTTCCAAGTATGGAATTTTTGATTGTGTTGACTTCTGTTTAATTTGAGACGCCAATAATTTGCCCGTTTTATTACCCTCTGTAAAATATTTAAATTTTAATTTTCTCAAATTTCGTTCCGTTACCTTCAATTATAAATTTTCGAGTTGTTTTTTAATTTTAAAAAGTTTATTTCGTAGACAATTATTTAGAGTTTGTTTATATTGTTTCTCTATTTCTCCTATAGATTTGAGGAGTTTTTTCTTTTCCTCTCCAAATTTTCGTTTTGCCCTTGCGCCTTCTTTTATAAGTATTCGCCTCACTGTGGCCTTATGAGCTAACCATGTAACTGATATAGATGTATCCTGATTAGTGTTTTCTTTGAAAAGCTGATTAATTGTATTCCCTATCTGTTTCTCCCGTTTTATTATCTAATAATGCTTCGTTCAAACGCCATGAACCCTTGCCTCTTGCATGATATGAAGTGTCAAATATGGAACATACTGGGCCGTGGTCTAACCATGTTATTGGATCTATAGTTACCTTTACTAGAGATTGGAGTGTAGATGCATCTGTCAAACACATATCTATCCTCGAGTAATTTAACCCCTTAAGGACCAAACCTCTGGAAAAAAGGGAATCATGACATGTTTAGCCATGAAAGATCCTGTAGTTTAGTTTTAATCTTGTTTACATACATAAGTAAGAAATTACTTATATAGAAAAGTCTCATATGCTTGTAGGTACCTAAAGTAAAACTCAGTGAGCAAACTCTGTCAAAACGCTTCACTTCTGTGCTAGAGACTCGCCACTCCTACTCCAAATCTAAGCACCATAACCACCACAGCAAGCACTGCCAATTGTAAGTAGTCAAACCGTTATAAATCATCCGATGCTCTCAGCCAATGAGCTAGTTCTGCACTGTGAAGATTAGTTCAAGAGAAAGTTCGGAGCAGGAGGTAGTGCTCTGAAGTGTTTATGGTGCTTGGAGTGCCTTTAAGCAAAAGATTGGAACATAAGCAGTTTATAATTATGCAGAGAGTGTATAAAAATAGAGAAGTGTAGTGAAGTCGTCAATATAATATTCTCAAAAATATAATTATTGAGCAATCCTGGCAACAACATGAAAAGGCATTACTTTATGTTTAAAGCAATAATTATGATCTGCGTATAACTACCACAAAGTAAATAAACTGCAGCATTACGTAAATCCATTCTAGATATATTTGTCTCAGGTGTTCGCACGGTTTCAGAATTTAGATATACTGTATTTTTTTTTAACATTTGTAGTTTAGTTGTTTGTTTTATAATAGTAATATTTTTTTCTATATTTCAGATTGATTGTAATATTAAGATCCTGGCGTAGTGCCCAGGCGTTCAGCAGGAAAACTGAGTGAACCTGCTAGAATAAAGATGGATACAGTTTGAGTCATGTTTAAAGGATGTTACTTGCTGATCAAACCTGTCTTCTCCAATATTCACAAAACATGTTGTAGATACAGAGTACCTGCACGAAGGATGGGGGATGGCAAACCATCATAACCTCATAAGGTAAATACTGTCGTTCGGCAAAATTAGGATGCCTGGGAATTCAAAGTGAATATAGAATTTAAGGCCAAAATAGTCAAACCAAAAACAGAACTGACCTGGAGAATTTTTCAATTTACCTATTTTTGCCTAAATCATGAAATTCACTATGAATTCGCACCAATTATCTATTTATCTAGTTAATAACCCTGTGTGCTTGTCCATCCGAAACCACTGCTTTCTAATTGTCGCATCACTATTTCATTTGTTTGTTGCAAATCTGCAGCTTATGCAGCAATCAAAACTGGCTGAGATTTTTTTTAGCCAATCTTGGGCCCTTATTCCTTCCAGTGGGAGACCTGTGCACATCCAATCACTGCCCAGGACTAAGATATGTAATTCATTGGTGGGGGAGCAACTGCATGAATGAAACTACTTGGTACGCTAATAGAAGTATCAATGCAAAACAGATAACCATGTATTAGTTTGCAGAATAGCTTCCTTTATGTTTTTCATTAAGTAAGCAATTTATAGCTGCGCATACACACAGCTTCTGTAATGTGCACTGGTTCTCCGCTTTCTGAGTTCCTGACCTTGGCTTGTCTTACCGTTTTTCCTGTACTCTCCTACGTTTTCTTCTTGACTACTCTTTACGTTAAATCCGGCCAATCTAAGGCCCGGTAATGCATTATACCTCTCCTTTAGCAGATTAGGGTCTGTGTGTTTTGGGTTCTGCTACTTTAGCCGTGACAATTACAGTTATTCTACACTACTACTTCCATGTCAGAAATTTCCATTCAACCCATCAGGCTGTAAAATGAAAAACAGACATACAAGGCCAATGCTTCTGTCTGAGTAGCTTCATTCATTCTTATTTATTTATTTTTTAAAACCATCAATAATCGAATCTACTGCCTGTTGTATGGGTTCCAATCAGAAGAGGGTTTTTTGGACACATAAAGCACTACCATCACAAACATTGGTAGACCAGGATTATCTGAATGAACTAAGCCACATCTCGTCACTTGTAGCCATCAGTGCAGAAGGACCAGATCTTGGGAATGTCCTACAGATATTTAGTGAGCATGCCTGTGTATATGAACTATGTCGATTAAAATACAATTATCAATGGAGTAAAAAGGAATACAAATGTAATGTATAACTTGCAATGTCTGTATACCACCAATGAATGTCTTATACAGAGAGACATACCAAGCAGTAAATTGAGATAGGCTGAAAATTTGCCATGACTAGCATGACGTGACATCTCTTGATGAAAATCTGTTTTGTATTTTACTGTTTTGCCATCTGCATTGCAGTATAGACTGGATACTCAAGCTGGCTTACCACTAGAAATTATTTTGCCACACCTCACAGCTGACATTTCTGTGTATTGTTTCCTTGTTACAAATTTAATAAGCAAGTTTTGTTACTATTTTGAACATTGATTAAGGAAGCCATACAGTCTCTTGTCAAATCTTTTTAAAGGACCACAATAGGCACCCAGACCACTTCAGCTTAATGAAGTGGTCTGGGTGCCAGTTACATCTAGGATTAACTCTGCCTGCTGTAAACATAGCAGTTTCAGAGCGTCCCCAGCGCCGAGGGAGCCTGGCGCTGTAAAAAGGCAGGAATTTAACCCCTTCCTCCCCCTAGAGCCTATCGGGAGGGGGGCCCAGAGGGTGAGGGGAACACAAGGACTCTATAGAGCCAGGAAAACGAGTATGTTTTCCTGGCACTATAGTGGTCCTTTAATCGTACCCACAGTATTATGGGCCTCAAGGGGCTAAATTTGGTAAAGAATGTGCACTCATGAAATTATTTATAAGTAATTCTGGAAATAATTAAATCATGCAATAGACCAGTATTTAATATGGACTTATTTGCTATGAACCGTTGAATATTGGAGAACCTAAATATCATAAAAACATCTGAATGGCTCTTGAATCACTACATGGCCTCATGAAAACAGGAATCTTATAACACATCCCTAGCTTTACAAAATATCTTCATAAAACAGTGTTTCTTCACTCCTGGGTCAGGACCCAAAACTAGATACTTTGGCTATTGTCAAAACTGGGACTGGGTACTTATATAGGCAAAAACAATAGGGTCAATCCAACTATAGGGAAATAAAGAAAAACATAGTGCAACTCTGTATAATCCAAATAAAATAATGTTGTTGTGCCAATGGGTCACTCACACTTTAACTGATAAAACAGGGCATTCAGTAATCAATGGAGATCTCAGGCAGTTTCTTGCTTCCAATGACTGGTTTTGCAGATCTCAGCAGTATGTGAAACAAAGTGCATCCAAAATGAGATGTAAGAAAATGTAGATAAAGTATAAAAAGAATGTATTACTTACACAGAGGTAAGGATCAATCAGCATAACATACAAATAAAATTTGTCCACAGTCTGTCCAACGCGTTTCTTCCCACTCAGGGACTTCTTTTCAGTAGTAAGACAGGTTAACAAATGAATAAAAACTAACTAAGTTTATTACTTAGAGTAACTCCTTATATCTAGCAATGCATTAAAAATATATTGATTGTTTAACTGAACTTAATATTATTGAATAAATCTTTAAAAATAGTGTGGGTGTGTGTTTCATGCATTTTCGTTTGCTTTCCAGCTTGAGTGCTTTCCCTTTTATGATTGTTATAACTTTATTGTTAATATTAACTTTGATTTGATACAAACCCACAAAGTGGTTTCCATTATCAGGCTCTGATTCCACATTCTATGCCATCCATAGAAGTCTTGATGTGGACCTCTTCTGGGACATATGAGTGCCAATCATTAAACCGATATACACATTCATGCAATCTGTTACATTGTGTAATATTTTATATTTTATTGGATCTCAATGGTTGGAACTAAAATATCAAATTTATCCCGGCTCCAGCCAGCTCTTAACAATGAGAAGAATTTAATAAATTGCTTTTAAATAATTTGTTTTAGTATTTATTATATTAAAATGTACAATGGGTTCCATGGTAATATCACAATTGTGGAAAGGATCTCTACCGTTTTAGAAGAAAGTGGCTTCAAAGGTGATGTTATACGTGAACATGTTAAAATTTACTTTAAATGTCATGTCATGGATCACGAGGACCAAAGACTCTCGTGTTTCTGATGTTATGCTTTACCGATCGAACACATGAGAGTCTTTCCAGAAAAGAAACATCCATATTGATCGTGACTGTTGTTCATATCTTCTGTCAGGTAAGTGTACCAGTTTATAAAAGTCTCAGGATAATTATATCCTATAATGCAATGGCAGCACTGGGATGGAAATATCTTGCCCTAAAAAGAAAAATAAGAGAATAACATAAAAGTTGTATTTTGCTAAATATTTTCTTTAAAAGACTATTACCACTTTTCTCTACCAATGGAAAATTTTACATGGGGGGGAGCAGAAAATCCCATGAGTAGAATGTCATTTACGTGTATAAATATTTAATAGGCGGAAAATTTTCTCAGTAGAATATTGAGGGATTTTATTTTTAGAAAAATGAACTCATAAAGTAAAGCTATAAAAAAATCTCAAATAGAAAACAGAAGTTAAAATCCATCAATTCTTAGTCAGCACCAATTCCATATAATAAAATTACAGAAGAAAAGAATAAAAAAAATAATGTACTTGCTTCTTTATGTCTGTCATTGCTTTACTAATACATGAGTCAAATTTCATCTTAAACTTCCTTAAAAATAAGGAAGATTTTTACAGACTTTTAAGGGGTTCAAAACATGCATTAGGTTTAACTGCCTGGGAGTAATTGAAAATATGTCTGGGATTTATGGCCTTGAGTTAATATTTTTGCATGCGCTTTTCAAATAAATTAATATTTTTGGATAAAATCTGAACATTAATATAAAAAATATATAAACAATATTTAAATATCAAAAGTTTTTCTAAATATTCCTGTATTTACAATTAAAAAAAAAGGAAATGTGTTGAGAAAATGTTACAATAAATATGTGCTTTTTCAATTTTGGAATATATATATTTTTTTAATTCTTTATTTTTGCAGTGCATTTGGATGTGACAAACATGCATGTGGTACCCCAACGGCATTCCACTTGCTTATTCCAATAACAGTTGTAACAGTGGGGTACATGGTGACACTTGCACAATTTTATATTGGATGTGAGGTTAAGTAGCAGTAAAACATTAGTAGATCAGGTATAGTAGGCATGACATTACTATGACTGCTGAGTATTACGTGTCGATGGACACGCTAGGCAAGACTGTGGGCTTACCCATTAAGTGCATCACGGCTGGCGCTGTTTAACTATTTGTTGGTTTGTCAATTTTGGAATATTTTTTAGCCTTAAAATCTTAACGATATTAACAAACTTTTTGGTTTTGGTATTAAAATAAGTAAAATGTATTTCCATATTATTTTCATATCTTTATCATATGTAATAGAA